AAAAGCTACATAGAATTAGGTTAACAACTCTTAATGCCTTTTTGGCTATGTAGTTACAGTGGGCTCTAGCACTTAGATCATTAGAGATGTGTACTGCAAGGTTCTTGACAGAATTTTAAGAATTTTCTGTATTAAGCTATGTATTATCATTTAATGACCCCCATAATCCCTTGCGGGGTGGAGTCTGGGCAATTGAATGGAGCTAGCAGAGTGTTTTAATGGCTGGATGCCCTCCCTGTCACCAATGCGGAGTTTTGTTCAGCTGATACATTCTCATTATGCCCAGAGAGAGAAATATGTGCCTCTGCCTAGGATCGAACTCACAGCTTTCTGATTGTGAGGCAAGAGCTCCACCTCTAGTCCATCGCACCACTCTAGATTTCCCTAGTTTCATCATCACCTTTTAAAGACCTCCCATAATCCCTTGCGGAGTGAAGTCTTGGGCAACTCAATGGAGCTAGCAGAGTGTTTTAATGCCCGGATGCCCTTCCTGTCTCCAGCATGGAGGTTTGTTCAGCTGATATAGTCTCAGTGTGCCCAGAGAGAGAAATAGCTGCCTCTTCTTCGGATCGAATTCACAGCCTTCTGATTGTGAGGTGAGATCTCCACCTCTAGGCCACCGCACCCCTCTGTATTAAGCTATATATATCCTACGCCAATATTTCTTTGCTTAATCGCCCGTAGCTTGGTTCTGTTGCGGTCTCCATCCCTCATAGCTTTGGTGCAGCAAGATAGCATTTGACATGTAACTCAGTGTTTTGAGTTTTGGAGGATCAAGGCTGTTCTCATAGTTCCCTGAAACAGTATGCCTAACACCCAGTTGACGGGACAAAATAACCCTGGTTTTTTTCCGCCCAGCATCTCCTGTCGGTGGCATATGGAATGGAAGGGATCTTAACTCTCATTCAGTCCCTTTGTTTTTCCACCTCTTATTGTGTATATTTTTATTTAAGTATTTATATAGAAGAATGACCTGCAGAGGCTGGAAGTTAGAGTCAAGTGAGAAATCAGCCCGGAATCGTTACATCCCAGTCTGCAGTCTGTGTCCATTCCCACTTGAATTCTGCTAACTCTTATCTAGTGTCCTAAAGGTGCTTTTTTCAAGAGGCCACTGGACTTTCTGGTTTTTCTTGATCTCGTTTCGCTCCTCATCCAAGAAGCTTCTTCAGCTCTGACTGGATGGTGGGGGACGGAAGGATTTACATTCCTTGCAGGCAAGCTGGTCATTTGCATCCTTTTAGAGAGCCATTGAGGCCGCTTGGAGGTTTGTCTGTGTCCTCAGGCTCACCTGAGTGGTGCAAATGGGTGTGGAGCCTTCGTGGAACTGCTGAAAGCTCTACTGAAGTGACCTTGAGGACACAGATAAACCTCCAAGTGGCCACAACGACTCTCTAAAAGAATGCAAATGACCAGCTGTCTGCAAGAACTATAAATCCTTCCGTTCCCCGCCATCTAATCAGAGCTGAAGAAGCTTCTTGGATGAGGAGCGAAATGTCTTCAAAGAAAACCCAGGAAGTCCAGGTGCCTCTTGAAAAAAGCATCTTTGGGACAACCATGACCTGGAACACTGAAAATCTCCACAGACTCTTTATCTAGGGCCAGTTTAGTGCTGTTAATGGACTAGATTCTTGTTCTATAGGTTTTAGCAATAAATCATCTTAACATGTGGATCTGATTCTTCTGGCCTGACAGCTTGTTTGCTGAATGTACGTCCTGGCTTTCCTCAAGGAAGCATAGTTCTCCGAGTCTTCTGGCCACCAACCCTTTTACACCGCATGGTGTAAATCACCCAGTGAATATTCACGATGGGAAGCAAGCTGGAAGCTTATCTCCCCAGGGCTTAGTCCCCTTTCCTAGCCCTACTAAGTTTTCACTGGAGGGACATAACACCCCATGCATCTCTCTCTCTCTCGCTCTCGCTCTCCCTTTTTCCTTGGCACACAAAGGGACTGTGACCTCTGAAAAAGCTGTAAAACCATGTACATGTGTTCTTCTTTAAAATTCCTTTGCCGATTCTGCTTGCCTTTGATTTCAGTGGAACTAATGTCTTACTGGGTTTTTTTAAAAAAAATAATAATAATAATAATACGGGTCGACAGAATTTAACAAGGAATCTTGTAATACTGAAATACAGATCATTATTATTATTATTATTATTATTATTATTATTATTATTATTATTATTAATCGCACAGTCAGTCAGAAGTTCAGACTGGTTTGGCATTTTGGTCTACCTATCGAGTCTTTACCAAGGGCCCAGGATAGGCAAATCTGGATGTTTGATGTTACAGATATCATCGCAGGATGGAAGCTGTTCCAAGTAAAGCTGCCTTCTGCAATTGACCGATGGCAAATTTGTCAATGCCACTGACGGTGTTCAAGGGGTGCTCCAGTTGTTTTGGGACTGCACCCAAGGTACCTATGACTAGGGGTACTACCCTTGCTTGCCTTTGCCACAGTCGTTCTATTTCTATTTGTAGGTCTTTGTATTGTGTTATCTTCTCCAGTTCTTTCTCTCCTCTTCTGCAGTCTCCAGGCACTGCCACATCCACTACTCAGACGGTTTTTTGTCTTTCTTATCGACAACTGTTAAGTCCTGGGTGTTATGTGGCAGGTGTGCCAGATTCTGAAGTCCCAGAGCAACTTAGCTTCCTCATTTTCTATGACTTTTTCTACTTTATGGTTCTCACTTGCAGGCAAATGATGTTCTTGCAGATTTTCCAATGCACCATTGTTGCTACTTTGTCATGCTGAAAATCTGTGCGATTTTCTTGCAGATCTTCTTCTTCTTCTTCTTCTTCTTCTTCTTCTTCTTCTTCTTCTTC